CTGAGAGAACACTTTTAATTGCAAATCATCCACCTGAGCTACAAATCTTCTCTATTAGCCGAAGATATGTTGATAAAATTCAAGTCATGCCATCCAAATCTCAATTTTACAGTAGGACACAAAGAAAACGATACTATTAAATTCGTAGAAGTTTTTCTGACGAAAATGAATGACGGCACAATCGAGAGGTCTAGATTTACAAGGTCTTCATGGACAGGACAGTACATGCATTTCAAGAGTTTTGTTCCAATCCAGTATAAAACGAACTTAGTCAGAACACTGTTCAATAGAGCACGAAAAATCTGTTCTGACAGTACTGTTGAGGATGAAATAAAATCTCTGAAGGATATCTTATCTAAGAAGTGATATCCTGAGAAGTTCACTAATAAATGCTCTAAAGAAAATAGCCCCTGCAAAACAATCCAAACAGTTCCGAAGAAACCTGTCTATATCAGTTTGCCTTTCAAAGGAGATGATGTACAGGAAGTAGTCAAACGAAGACTCGACAAAGCCATCAAGAGAACTAATTATGCCACAAAACTTGTTTTCCTTAACACCACGAAACGAGTGCTTCAACAATCTGGGAAAGACCAGTTGACCATCCTCGACAATTCAAAATGCAGTTATCAATTTGAGTGTGTTTGTGGAAACAAATACATAGGTCGTACGGAAAGGAGATTGTCTACTCGCATGATGGAGCATTTGCCAAAATGGTTGAAAACAGCTGAGTGCAACGTGCCAAAATCCTCAATAACAAAGCATGTTGTGGATTACGGACATGATATCGATGTGGTCAAGTCATTCACTATTGTCAGCAGACAAAGAAACAAGAAGATGCTTGCAATTGCAGAGGCTTGTGCAATTCGAGTTTACAAACCAGGTCTCTGTGTACAAAAGGAGATGGTCGTGACTCTGAATCTACCATGGTAATACGTTTTACTTATAATTATACCCCTTATTATTTTTATTCTCATTATTTAATATTCTTGATTCATTTGAAACTATCTTTATCAGTAGGATTATCTTGATTCACTTCAACACTGTTATTATTATTATTAATAATGTTATTATAACTACTACTATTGACATCACTCTGTTTGCAATTCTTGTTATATTCTCTAATGTCTAATTGTTTATCTAAGTGATGTGATTGAAGCGTAATGCAATTTATCTTAATTTTGATCTCTCACACTCTCCCCTTGCCTATTTGAACATGACCTGGAAAAACATTCGCACCTGTCTTTCTGCATGACTAATTCAATGTAGTTTGTTTACTTATCAGTCCTATATCTCCCAATGTAATTTCAAAAGTATATATGTCCGTGTATGTAGAGTATTCAGCTGACGGGTCCTACCGAAATTCGATGAATTCATTAGATCCTGCTTTATTAACCTTTATTGCTTGTTTTAAACTATGCAGTCATTCACACGTTGAACCAACGAGGACAGGCATGACTTGCATTTGTTGGCGTTTCATGTGAAGGGAGTTTTGGTGCCACCTCATAATGAATATGTAAAAGAATATGTAAAAGAAGTCACAGAGAAACAATGTGACAACATTAAATCTGACCTTCTTAAGAGCCTAAAGCCTTCAGTTAACACCGAACGTCCGTTCCCAAGCAATCCAGAAAAGTAGGTATTCAACCTCTCAAACATCACACTATCCACAGCTCAACTAGAGGTGTTATCTCTTGGTCCGAAGTTCTGCGTAAAACCACGAAGTATTCACAAGCTTCAATGCCTGGTTCAATTTGAAAACCTGATAAACCAAACCTATAACTTGATACCAACGTCCGATGAGAACCTACAACAATTCAAATCAACTGTCCTCGACTGTTGCCACAAATTTATAAATGGCAATACAAACGGAAGATCCGTACTAACGAAGAAACACTACAAAGAGCTGAAAGAATTGATGAACAATGAAGAGATTATGCTGATACGTCCTGATAAAGGTGGAGGAATCGTAATCATGAACCGTAAGGATTATATCAGTAAAATGTTGAGCATTCTATCTGATGAATCTAAATTCACTAAACCGGCCAACGAGAAAAACATGACGGAGCAGAGTGAACAAAAACTAACAGACATCCTCCGTAAACTGAAGAACGAATCCTTCATTACCAACGAAACGTTTGAATCCCTGAAACCATCTGGTTCAAATATACCAAGACTCTACGGACTTCCTAAAGTACACAAGATGGGCACTCCACTTCGACCGATCCTCGACATGACTAATTCACCTTACCACCGCACTGCCCAATGGCTAGCAGACCTACTTGAGCCAATCAGAAAACAGGTCTCCCGTCACTCAGTGCGAGATTCATTTGAATTCGCCAACTGCGTCGAAAACGTCAATGTTTCTAATCAAACGATGATCTCACTAGATGCTGTTTCATTGTTTACAAATGTTCCACTAACTGAAACAATCTGTCACATATGCGAGCTCATCCACTCAGAAGGAGTAAACATCGGCATACCCACCGACTATCTAAAAGAACTTCTGCTGAGATGCACCCTAAACGTCCAGTTCTCCTTTAACAATGAAATATATCGCCAAAAGGATGGTATAGCTATGGGCTCACCACTAGGCCCTCTGCTTGCGGATTTCTTTATGTCAAAACTCGAAAACACTTGTTTAAAGAATATGATTGACAACTTTGAACTCTACAAGAGATACGTCGACGACACCTTCATCATCTGCAACAACGAAGAGAATTTAGAAGATATTCTGAAGTTCTTCAACAACTGCCACCCTGCGATTCAGTTCACGCTAGAGAAAGAGTCTAACTCAAAGATATCTTTTCTTGACGTTCAACTGACGAGACGCCAACAAGACGGGACATTAAAAAGATCCATCTACAGAAAGCCAACGTGGAACGGACAGCTCACTAACTTCCACAGTTGGGTACCTCTATATACTAAACGAAACTTAATCCGTTCACTAAGCCACAGAATACGTAGAATTTGCAGCGTGGACGCCATAGAAGATGAATTGAACACTCTTAAGAAAATCCTCCTTGAAAATGGCTATCCAGAAAGATTTATCACAAAATCAATGAAACCCAGACCAGAGAAGCCGTCCACACCCAGTGCTCCAAAAAGAATTCTCTATATGAACCTACAGTTCAATGGAGACCAATCTACAGAAATACTGAGAAATCGGCTCTCCCGCTCATTGAAGAAAACCTTCGTTGCAGCTGAATTACGACTGAGGTTCTCCGCGAGACCAATGATTCGTATGTCCGTGAAGGATAAGCTACCGCTGTTGGCCTCATCTATGTGCATCTACCAATTCACCTGCTCGTGTGGAGCCAGGTATATCAGCCGTACTCAGCGTTCGCTATCCAAACGCGTCAACGAACATTTACCTTCATGGTTTTATAAAGGAGAAAACCGATGCCCCCATAGCTCGATCCTTGAACATTTGATCGACTCTGGACACCAAGTCAAACCAGAAATAAACTTCAAAGTTATCTACAGAATACAAGGCAATCTTGCTAAAAGTGTGCGGATCAAACTTCTCCACATCGCAGAAGCAATGGCAATTCATTTGCTAAATCCTGAACTCTGCATACAAAAGAAATTCGTTCATTCATTAAATCTACAATGGACGTAATCTTTCTTAATTTTAGTCTTACTAATTGTATTATTTTGTCTCTTGCATTTTATTATTTCACATCTTCACTTATATTATTCTCTATCCCACCCTTTTGTAATCTCTACCCTCATTAACAATGTTACTTACTTGACCCACTTCCAATTTCTAGTCAACTGAGTTACGTCATCCGATTAACTTACTTATTTTCAACTGTATTATTCTCTAACCCCACCCTTACTTGATTTTAAACACCACTCATTAACACTGTTTCCAACCTGACCTAATCTGAATTCTACTCACTTAATCAATTCTATTTTATTTTCCATCTTAACGTTTGTTTCCAAGCAAAAATTACTTATATTACATAATTATCTAAACTTTATAAATCTAATGTACACACACACAAACAAAATTGTATAAATATGCGATTGTACAGCTAAGTGAATGAATTCGCCGAAAAGAGTCTCTTCGCTGAACGCCTTCTTTTCTTTTATATGACTGAATGGGGATTTTCAAGTTACATAATGAATATTTCACTAGATTGTCGTGTAACGTCTACGGTCAAATTTCAGTTGTTTAATTCTGCCCTACACTATTTGTTTTGTGCTGGAAATTTCCTTTGCCTTTATAGCTGCATTCGGCACTGACGTGGTAATTTTGAGGTTTCCATTTTATTATCGTGGATGTTCAATACACCTTCACATATTTTACGACTAATGGTAAACTTCCAGCTGCCTCTGTAGAACTTTGTGACTGTGAGTCTCTCGAGGAGGTTTCGAATAGACAGGCAGGAGGATGCAATAAACGGTTTCTTCTGTTTCAAGCCAATTTATGGTTGTTCATTCTACAGACATTTCAGCATATTTAGATATCATCCGGCGTGTCTTCATTCAGATGTACTTATTTGATATCAGTGGTGAGGAGCATTACTGTTTTAACTATGTTAGATACTGGAATTAATGACCAACATGTGTCGCGCCAAATATTTCGATTGCAAATCGTGTAGGAACTTGTTTTACGTGCTCTTGGTCCATTTGGTCCGTGTTATCAGTGATTAATCACTCGAAAGACATTGACACAATCGTATTTCCATTGAGGTCGGTTACGCATATACGTCTGACGCACACTCTAGTGAGGAGACTCAGTCCCCTAACAGCCACCGTACGACCAGTCTCACATTAACACGTTCCCAACGACGACAGCCAACCACAAAGTCTTCAACCGCGAATTCGCATTGAACCACATCCGATCACCACCGGCAGTTCAATAAAAGTTTCAATTCATGGAGAAATCGCGGTATAGCAGATAATTGATTTATTTAATTTACTTATTTGAAAATGAAATATTTACGAAAGCTTCTACAATCTACATGTATTCAGTAGTACTTTGATATTCACCCTGGTTCACCTTTTCATTTTTCTGTATGAGAATAAAATCAGCTAGCAATATTATTGGATGAAATATTACTGGTGAAATAGTCAAGAAAATCATATACTGGAGAGGAGGATGATTGTTGGTGAACTGTGTGTGTGTGTGCTTATTTACACAATCCGAGTATTCGGGATATTTTCAGTGAGTGATAATTTCAATGAGTTGCTACTTTTCAATGATTCACTATGCGTCGTGTGGATTTCAATGGCTGGCTTGCATTTTCTCAGTGACGCGTATGAAATGTGCATGTGTATTCTAATACATTCATGATACCGTTTATTTACAACTGTCTAGATACTATGCATTGGACGATATCCGCACGGTAACTTACAACGCCACTGATGATGCTTTCATCACTCGGTTAAACAGGCGCATTCGAGATCGGAATTCGAAACACACACTCATTGACCTATATTTGTGCTGTATGGTGGGAGAATAGTCGATGGTGAAAAATATTATCTAGCTGTTGTAGTGAATATCCGAATCCCGTGTTGTGCTTCGCCGACTCATCATCCCCCATCCAGACTGTCTCCCATTTCGTGTCTTGGAGATTCAAACGTGCACTCCATTAACAGACCTTATCCTCGCATGTCGATTTCGTATGTTTGAGAATGGAAGTTGATGCAAATTATATCTCACCTGTCAACGTCTTCAACAGGGTTGTGTTAAGATTCTTGTAAACTAGAAATGATAGAAGACATCGAGAAATATTTGAATTGACCAGTGGAAGGGATTGTTGTTGTCTATCAATGAGTTCGTAAGATAACTAATATTAGATAGACTCTGACTATTCATTTTACAGAGAAAATGAACTCACAAATTTCAGTGCTTAACCAGGAGTTGTGGTAGAATACTCCTTCGATTTGAGTTTTCAGTTCCTGCAGATCTGAAATAATTCATGATGAATGTATCTTCCTGAGTGGACTTCTCAGAATCAAATTATGAGATTGGAAAACAAAATTACGTGACATGAAAACAATCTATTTCATGCAATCTGTGTATGTTATTCATTTCATCGTGAATGTAAAAAAGGAAAAAACGAATACCTGTTTGATTCACCGAACCTAGATTTGCGCGACATTTGTCCACATGGAACGCCTCCACTTTTTCTAGTTGTGGGTGTGTAAGGGAAGAAAAGCAGTGTCATTATGTGGAGACTGGAATTTCGAAAATCGTCACTCCACACAGTCAAAATAAATCGAGCCGGTTAGCGTAATAAAATGCTACTCACCATTATATGCTGAGGATTGTTGTCGGCAACAAGTTATCATATCACCAAGTGTTCCATCATTAACTGTAAATAAATCAGTCTCAAATGAATCAATCCATTCCGATTGTTATCAATATCATACATATACACATTGATGCAGTTTGAATACAAACACAATCACAATTGAGGCGAATAAAATTTGTTTACTACTTCGTAGATTGTCAACGAATATCCGAAATGAGAAATACAACAGTCAAACATCTATTGTCAATCACTTCCTCATGTTAATCAGTGAATGAGGAAATTCCCCACGTTCATTTGGCGTTAGCAAATAAAGTGCATCATTGAAATAACGACAGTTGAGGTGTTAACGCGTGAATACAAGCCAGGTGAAGAATGTTGAAAAGAATATTGACGAGAAATAAGTATGATTGTAGATAAGTATAGAAATGACTCGAAATATCTAGCTTACGTTCGCGGAGATCGTCTGCCATATCTAGGAAAGATAGAAAGACGTTGACATGTTTAGTGGCTCTTATCATTTGTAAGTTAACAACGCCGGAGTCGAAAAGACGTATATTATTGAAATGACCGGTGAGAAGGCATATCACCAATAGAGAGTATATCAAGAAAATGACTTCTCACTTATCAAATAGAAGCACAGTGAGTAGTGAATAAATTTCGCGAATAAAATTATCTCAGAAATGAAAAGAATTTCTTAGAACGCACGTGTAAATGTGTGCATTCCCCACATGTATTTGTATGCAGTTTCCAGGCAGTCTGTATCTAAAAAAGGAGGTCCATCATTTCAATAGATACGGTTTGCTTACAATTTCCTAATTTTCTTCGTAAGCTTGCATTTTGACTGAGAATCTTTTCTAGGAATACAGAAAAGCGAAAGCGTTGAAAGTTAACAACTTGTGGAGACGTGTATTTTATTTATGTCACTAAATGCTACATACTAGATGACATGATTGATATCATCATTAGTAATAATTTCGAAACAATAATTCGAAGCATATTTTCGTCAGCGTGAAAGTATTATCAACAATTATGCTTAAGGTTTTATATACCTGTACATTTTTGTACTCTCCCTTCAGCAGCTTTGACCCTCGAAATTACTCCTGGTATTCGACCTGTGGGGAGAGGAGAATATTTTGAATGAATCATTATATGTGATGTAAGATAACTGATAACAAATGGATAATACACATTGTAAATAGTTTCATTGAAGACGACTGAAGGAATTTCAGGTGAGTCAGCCATTCTCCACACTGTCTTCAATGATATTATATCAATTTTCGAGTCGTCAATTAAGATCATGACTAAATCGATCATTGTGAGACTTTCGTTATTCTCAAACAATTGCCATGAATAATTGTCAAGTAGATTGTTAACCTCGAATAATATGCACGTAATACATTCTTACCTTCAGTTATTGCTATCCTCCTTTTAATTTTAGCTGCCTTCATCGATTCGCCTGGAAATGAAATGAGGGAGTGAAAACAACAGTTATTATACAGAGAAGCAGTTTCAGAACACTGAAGATAGTCAGAACAATTTCTCCACTTGAATTGTATCAAACTCCTTTAGAGAGCTTTATGTATGCCATTGCAGTGCATAAACACATCACCTCAAAATGTGTACTCGGACAATCTTTGGAAATTTTAGCTGAAACACTATCAGAACGAGAGAGCATGTCACTGTACAATTGTTAATATACAAAGTCTTTTAGTTAGGATTAAGAGGAGAGATGCCTCCACGAGTACTATTACGCTTCCGGTCACCATCTATCAAGCAAGATGAAATTGAGATGAATTCATATGCAAAAGTGACCATTCTGAAGTAAAAACTCAACCAGAGAGAACGAACTGTGAGAGTGAGTAGCGAAACATTCAACAGTACTAGTGAATAAGGCAAATATTTCGTAAGGATTGAGCCACAAATATACCACCTTTCGAGAAAATGCTCACCTGAAATCATGGCTGCGAATGCCAACAGAGTGACGAAAGCCACGTGGCTGTATGCGAAGTGGACCATATTCTTATGATAACTGACTTTCCGTTCCCGTATTTATACCACAGAAAGCAGTCACAATTATTGTTGTAATCTGATGATTGGTTGATTACAGTAATCACGATTTCATCGGTCATTTGTGGAAGACTGTGAGTGTTGTGATTGGTGAGTGAAACAACACCTCATGATGTCACGCCACTGACATCATATATCGAGGAATCTGAGAGGTACAATGAAATCTGCCAATCTGCAGTAACACTTTGCCACTTGAACATAATTTGAAAATATTATTTCATTGCAGTACTACACAAAATGTCATCAGTTTTTTCTTTCGACCCAATCATTCCATAACTTCCTGCATTCAATTTGGCAGTTTCCTCTGTTTTAGAAAAGAAAGCGAAGTCTTCAAGCACACAATATTTGATTCACATTTCTTCGTCTCAGTCTGACTCTGCGGTATATGAATTGAGTTGTTTTCAACAAAAGAGATTATATGGACGCTGCAATATTCCGTGAAGATGCAGTTGTGTCGTAGAATGTTTTCGATGTACTTGAGTTGTCTATGCTGCATGGATTACTTGTCAATCCTTCACTGACTTACTAGGCTACATTTTCAGTGCACAGGTTAATTTGAAAAAGTGAGCTTTGACATTTGTTGTGATAATATTTGAAATGCGTTTTGATTTTTTGAGAAGTATCTATTTGATTCAGTGTATGTGAGCACAATGTGTTCTCCCTGCATTAGCCAAACGCAGATGTACAGTAAGATAATAATATATAATAATTATTTATTTTATTCTAAAAGCAGTACTGATAAAACAGAATGGAATTTTCAGTATTTGTGACAATAGTGCATCTGATTTAATCAAAATATAAATGAAATTAAAAATTAAAATAAAATTAATCAGAGGAAGTTGTCCACATTTACGACATAATTATTAGATATAATAGTAACAATAACAATAACATTGAGTTTGAATCAAACGGTATTGTCGATACAGTTTGGGAACTTTAGCATGTTATAAATTATTGGGTCTAATGTTCTGTTGATATAGTATAGTGAGGGGAAATGCAAAATCAGCAGTTATAATACAGCTTAAAATTAAATCCACACTTATGAAAAATAAAATAAAGAAAACGAAAAAATGCAGAGGATTATAAATATAAAAAAATACAATAACAATAAAGAGTGATGCTTTAAGGTTGAAGGAAATGGTCTATTTAGTGGTGCTAAGAAGGTTAGTTAGTTCATGTTTGACACTATTTTCATCACGTGAAGTAGGTGCTTAATATGGTATAGTGGAATTTTTATAATCAGACGTACGTGCATAAAGTCTTCTGAAAAGACTTCTTGTTTTACCTGAGGAGTCACAAGGATGGAGCTGCGGGTAGACTGGGTGCTCACAGTCTGACAAAATTCCTCAAGCGAATCTGTTGCATGATATCAAGTGCCTATCAGTGACAATGTCAACGATATCGCCCAACGTCCTCGTCCTACTGACAGCTTTCAGAGTTCTACAAAGTATGACAAAGTCCTTTTTAAGCAATCCAGGAAAGAATAAGGGTGAACAGTAAAAAAGAATAGATAAAATACACGAGTTGATAAACTGTAAGAGGAGTGGTTGAGTTATGCCTGAATGCCTTAACTTCTAAATGTAAAAAGTCAAACGAAATATTCTTTTAGAAATCGCTAAGACATAAGAGGACCAGGATAGGTCAGAAGAGAGAATTAAACCAAGATATTTAACTTCAGACTAGATTTCTGTATCAGTATCATCGATTTTGCAAGAGTCATAAGAACCAACGGCTTCATTTAACTTTCGTTTACATCGGAAACTGAAGTTGACAGTCTGACAATTGGAAGGATTTAGTTTGAGGCCGTTAGACGAAGACCATTCGCTAATTCCTGATAGAAAGTTGTTAATCTTGATGCAGTCAAGCTGAGAGTTAACAGACATTGAAATAGTTAGATCATCGGCATACTTAACAAAGTTCATTTCATCGGAGTGAGGCAAGTCATGCAAGAAGAAAGAAAACAGAAAAGTAGAAAGGACAGCGCCTTGAGGGACACCAGCCTCAGTAAGCAATGAAGTGGACGACTTTCCCTGACATACAGTGTATTGCTTTCTTCTTGAGAAATAAGAATGCAGCCATTTGACAACCCAACAGTCAGTTTGAGTTTCAGCAAGCTTGTTTAGTAAAATGTCCCTAGGTACTGAGTCGAAAGCAGATGTATAATCTAGAAAGGTGCAGCGGACAAATTTAGCCCGCTTGTCTAAGCTGGAGACAGTGTTATGATGCAAGACTGCAGCTGCATCTAAAATGCTTCTACTGTGTTTGCAGGCGAATTGTTTAGGATCGTTAAAGGCTTAAAATGAAGGTTGAAGATTTTCCATAGCTTTTAGATAAGGGGAAGTAATAGCAATGGGTCTGAATTTAAAACATGTCGCAGTAGACGACTTAGAAATAGATATATTTTAAATGTCATTCCAAACGGCTGGCACGACATTTTTAGAAAAAGATTCGTTAAATATGTCCATGAGAGGATAGCCCAGGATATCTACTCAAATTTTAAGAATAACACTACGCAAACTTTCTGGACCCAGGCTACAAGAAGGGTTCATAGACTGGAGACATTTTAGAACATCATTTGTACTAAATCCATTAACACTTGTAACACTAGAAAGTTTGGAATTCGTTGGAGAATGTATGAAGGACTTGTTTAGTTTGGAAACATCAAGGGAATAAGGAATACTGTTCATCTGCTTACCACCAGTAATTTCTTTGAAAAGTTTCCATATGTTAGACGCATTTTTACAGGACATAAACTTTTGGTTGTAAATTGAATTCAATCTGTGCATTTCAGTCTTTATTAGGATGTTTATTCTTTTCAAACCAGCGTTATCCTTCATTTTAGATAACTTTTCTATTTGTCTGCGAAGCTTTTTAAGTTGAGGGGAGGATAACTGTCAAATGTGATGAAGAGCGTTTCTCTGGGACAACAGGTGTCAAGACAAAATTTGAGATAACTTGTAATATAAGAGATTGTGTCATCAAGAGAGTCTTCTTTAAACAGGTCCCACCTTGTGTCTTTGAGCATGCTTCTGAGGTTCTGAACATTCTCTATAGAGTAACATCCATGTACAGTGTTCTTGGAAAGGTGTGAAAAAGTTCTCTTGTGTAACTTCCCATAAATTTTAGGTGAAACCCGTACAATACAATGATCTGAGTTAAACAGTGGAGCTCTTTTACGAGCTTCGTATATTCTGGAGTCATTTGTAAATACAAGATCAAGAGAATTTTCCAGTCTGGTGAGAAATTTAACAACATTTTCATGATCTTTCACTGTGAGAAAGCTGCAGTTACATGAATTAAAATCACCTGTCACTATGGACAGGGAGTTACCAAAAGAGGTGGCAGCGAAAATAGTGAATTCATCAGCAAGCATAGATAATTCTGAAGCGCTACAACAAGGTGTGATATAAATATTCGTGATATAAATGAATTTGTATTTAGATAGATGTTTAGGTCAACATTTGACATTTATACAGTCAATATTATCATTTGAGAATTTAAATTAGACGTTGTTGGCAACAGACCACTGAGAATTGATGAAAGTAGCAACACCACCGCCTCGCTTCTTCCTTGAACTACTTCGGTCCTGTCTGTAAATATTGAAAGGATTTAGTAAGATTGAATAATCGTCATATGAGTCGTGTAGCCAAGTTTCCTGAAGCGTTATTACACCTGCCTATAAACTCCAAAAACAT